CAGTCACCTGCCAGTACCTGAGAGGGGCCTACAGGAAAGCACGGGAGGGACTATTCACAGGGGTTTGTAGTGACAGGAAGAGGGGTAATGGCTTTAAGCTAGAAAAGGGTAGATTCAGGTTAGACATTAGGAAAAAGTTCTTCAATATGAGGGTAATAGACCCCTGGAATAGGTTGCCTAGACAGGTGGTAGAGGCCCCATCCCTGGAGACATTCAAGATCAGGCTAGATGAAGCTTTGAGTAGCTTGATCTAGTTAGAAATGTCCCTGCTTATGGCGGGTGGTTTGGACTAGATGACCTTTGGTGGTACCTTCCAACCCAGACATTCTAGGATTCTATGCACTGGTGGAGTTCACAGTCCTAAGGAGTATGAGGCAGATGAGAATTATAGTCAGGACCTGGAATTTCAGGAAAGCAGAATCCCGGGTCTTCAAGGAAGCAGTCAGTAGGACGCCCTGGGAAATGGCACTCAGGGACAATGGAGCAGAGCAGAGCCAGCAGATATTTAAGGATGCTTTCCATAGAGAAGAAAAGCTCTCAGTCCCCAGGGGTAAGAGATCAGGCAAGGCAGGCAAGAGACTAGCACAGTCAAGTCGAGACCTGTTGGACAACCTAAAGGGCAAGAAGGAACTGCACAGGCAGTGGAAGCAGGGACAGGTCTCCTGGGAAGAGGCGATTGTGTAGGGGTGGGGTCATGAAGACTAAGGAGCAGCTGGAGCTGAACTTGGCAAGAGATGCAAAGAATAATAAGAAGGGTTTCTATGGGTAGGTCAACCAGAAAAGGAAGGTAAAAGAAAGCATATCCCCCCAGTGAGCCAGACTGACAAGCTGGTAACAATAGATGAGGAAAAGCCTGAGGTGAGTACAACATTTTTGCCTCAGTCTTCACTGGCAACCTCTCTTCTCACACCTGCTGAGTTGATGGACCACAAGACGGGGGTTGGGGGTGCAAAGTCACTCCCACTCTAAGAGTGGGATCAGGTTCATGACGACTGGAGGGACCTGAACATACATAAGTCTAGGAGACCTGACAAGAAGCATCCGTCAGTCCTGAGCGTACTGGCTGATGTAGTTGCCAAGCCACTCTCCATGATATTTGAAAAGTCCTGGCAGCCAGATGAAATCCCTGGTGACTGGAAAAAGGGAAACATTGCAGCCTTCTTTAAAAAGGGTAGAAAGAAGGCTCTTAGGATCTACCAACCTGTCAGCCTCACTTGTGTGCCTGGGAAGATCATGGAACAGATCCTCCTAGAAGCTATCCTAAGGCACCTGGAGGACAGGGAGGAGATTTGAGACAGCCAGCATGGCTTCACCAAGGGCAAGTCCTGCCTGACCAACCTAGTGGTCTTCTGTGATGGAGTAACTAGATCAGTGGACAAGGGAAGAGCAATGGTTGTTGTCTATCTGCACTTCTATGAAGCTTTTGATTTAGTCACCCACAACATCCTTCTCTCAAAATTTTCTCAGGTGGAGCTTATTTGGTGTATCTAACCTTCTATTTGTGCAAGACACCTTTCTTGTCTTCTGTATTTCCTATCTCACCATTTTTATGACCAGCAAACCTGAGACTGATATGAATACTTGCTTGATCGTGCTCACTAGATTGACCTCGAAATTCTAAGCTGAGAGCAAGGAATACTACATTCATTAACAAATTGCTATCTGCCAAACTGAATGGCAGAATGAATGATATGACAAATTTCACAACATGACAAGTGAGCTAGAAAGTAAAAGCTGGAGTCCTCTGGGAACCATCTGGACAGGCAGTGAAAAGTCACATCCCTCCTCATGTTCTGGGTTTGGAACCAGTGAGGGATCAGGACTCAAATGGGTACCTTGCTCTGTTAATACGAAGACAGTTTTCCCTCACTGTGGGCTGCATTTGGTTTTTCACAGGTCGGTGGTTGATACCAAATCATGTGCTCAAATTATAGGCATCCTGATTTCCATACTGTGAATGCAGCTCTTTAAAGTGCTTATTTTAGAACCCCATAAACAACAACTACATGTTACAAAAGGCTAAGCTTCAGGCTGGTTTAGGCATTTACAGTGTTCATAAGCAGCCACTGATTTAAGCAGCTTTGATTCCTGCTTGGTAACAAACCTACATTTTGTGATGGCACTGGCTGTCTAGCCCAGCAGATATAATGCTTTGCTCTGTGTTTTTCAGGATGGCAGTTCCCCATATGGTGCCAGGTACGTGGGCTCCATGGTAGCTGATGTTCACCGCACATTGATGTATGGTGGGATCTTTATGTATCCTGCTAATCAGAAGAGTCCTAAAGGAAAGGTAAATTGTTGGTCTTACTCTTTGGTCAGCCTTATACTTTTGTTTTTCACAGAGATGTAAAGGAATAATTTAGATATATAAACAGGTAATAACATTTCACCCCTGCATACAATTTTTAATGGATATGATGGTCAGCAATCAAACTGAGGCAAGAAATTTAGGGAATTGCCAGTTCAGGCCAGAAATCTTCCTGTGTGCTTTTGTATTGCAAACTATTAAAATGGTTTTCAGTGCACCCAAAGGGTTTATTCATTTTTCTAAAGAGAACCATCCCAGCATCATAGAAACCCATCTAGATAACTATACACAGTTGGCAGATACTACATGGGCCTCAGAAGACCTCTGCATTTTACACTGGCAACTAGAGTCCAGGTGGGCTTCCCTGAACTCCAGAAAGGGTTTTGCCCAATGTTAGACAACTGAGTTTGACTACTTAATGTTTCCCAAGGGTACTGAGCTTATTATCACCAGCCCCGCAAACATAAGCTTCTTCTAGCTGATCTAAAAAACTCTGCCAGTGGAAGGTGAGTTTCATGCATGCTGAGATCAGTATTCTGGGAAAAGGTGATTTCCATTTAGCCATCTGTACAAAATACACTGTGACTTAATGCAGTGCAATGCAACGCAGTGTTTCCCTGAATCTGCTGGGCCATAGACCATAGTAAACTTCACTTTTTCTCCTGCAGCATCAGATAACCTTATTATTCAGCTGCTGAAATATGATTTAAAAGAGATTTGTTTATACAGCTGATCTGTGGGCCACTAGTAACCTGCAGGTCATCCTTATGAAACTATTGGATCAATGCAGAATAGACTTGGTCATGGTGTTCTGACTCCAGGACCACCTTTCCTGATCAATGCCATGCCTAGAAACTTCTGTTCAAGTTTGTTTCTTTTTAATCCCTGGCTGATATGTGTGGGAGTCTGCCCTCATAAAACTACTTGCTCCATCCACCACACTGCTGCCAGAACATGCTGGTGTCTACAGTTCTTTAGGGACAAAGGACTACTGGTTCCATCCTGGTGAGCATGTATTTACTATAACAGCAGTATATTCAAGTGGCCTGTGCAGTGAGGAGAACAGGAAAAGAACTCTCTTCAGAACACAACAGAAAATGTCTGCACATTTATCCAGGGAAATTTGATTTAAATATTTGACAAAGTATCCCAGGAAAAAACAAACAAACAAACAAACAAACCCACAAAAAACTCACAACCCCAAAACACCCCCCATTAAATAGTGTGGATCTGTTTCTGTATCAGAGCAAAAGACAAAAAAAGAATATGCTGTGTCTGACAGAAGTGAGTTTTCTGACTGGCCTCTTCAAACTAAACATTTTGGTTTGAAGTTTGTGTTAAACTGTCATGGAATAGGAAAGATTAGAAACAGGACAACAAATGTACAAAGTACTTATATAATTTTATAGAAATTAAGATTTCTGCATGAGTTACCAGAAGGGAAAATTGCTTTTAATAATTACTGCAGTTATGTCTGGAAACAGAGTCACTCTCTGGATAAGTTCAGGCCACTAATATCTATTCACATTTCCAAAAAGCAGCAATTGAATCCTGAAATTTGAAACTTGGAGCATCGAATTTCAAACTCCAAAATATCCTGACCAAACACAGTGTGATTACCCCAAGCTTTGAGGTAACACATAAAGACTGTACATAAGAGATTTTGTCTTTTCTTTCCCAGTACTGTCAAATTAACTGGCTTAACTTTTTTTTTCTAATGTCTCTGGGCCCATCAGCTAGTTTTGACACTTTTGACAAACTACCAGCTTCACTGGTGGCTGCACATCAGTACATCAGCTTGGAAATGCAGGGTGATGCAGGGTCAGAACAGTCTTCCTCCAAACAGAAGGTGTTAAGGGAGGTGAGAGGAGCAGAAGGAAGAAGGAGGGCTGACAGACAGTGCTACTTAGGCCAACTGATGTTTGGTACAAAATTTTCTAAAATCACAAAAGGTTCTCATAAGCAATTTCCCCAAAGGCAATCATGTGTCCCCTCTTCCTTTCTAGCTCCGACTTCTCTACGAGTGCAATCCTATGGCTTTCATCATTGAGCAGGCAGGTGGGATAGCAACGACAGGGACTGAGGCAGTGTTGGATGTGAAACCTGAGAGTATCCACCAGAGAGTCCCTCTTATCCTTGGGTCTCCAGACGATGTGCAAGAATACCTCGCTTGTGTACAGAAACACCAGAAGAGCAGCTGAAGGCCTTTCCACATCAGAACTTGCTCATTTGTCTTCAGCCTGCAGGAAAAGCAAGTAGCAAGTACCTCTCAAGAGGGTGGATTCTAGCAAGTAGCACTCATCTCTCAGTGAAAATCCCACTTGATGGAAACAAAAAAAATAGTGAGACTGGCTAATGGAAAGAAACAAGAATTTCATTTCTCCCCGCAGACAAATGTAAAAACCCTTTAATTCTGATTTATGCAGTGCAAATGTAGAGAAAGAGGCCTGATTGTTAAACAGAAGCAACTTACTTTACATAATATTAAGAAAATTAAGTGGGTGGTGTCAGCAGACCCATTTCATCTAATGCTTTACATATGACATTACATGGCTGGCATTGTTTGAGACAGGATTTTCACGTCAACATTTGCAACACCATTATCTGGATTTTCTGTCAGAAGTTTTGTTGCAGATGATCATTACCTTGACAGCCTCGAGAATCCCAAAAGTCTCATGCTGTCTGAAACTGTTTTTAAGCTCCAAATTATATGTGTTTGGTAATTAATAAAGAAGAAAAGGCTCCAATGTTGTCAGAGTATTTCAATTCCCATAAGAACAGGGAAATATCTTGTGTTATCTACAAACAGGTAACCTTCCATGCCAAAAATGATAATCAACTATTGCTAGGGGTCTGACACTCAAATCATGCCTATTCCATGTTTATCCATTGTCCTCTGCCTCAGAAGATGACCACAAATCGACAGCTAGGCCTCTGTTTTCCTTCACTTTGAAAGGTTCTCATTTCGGATTGAAGCTTGCCCTTTTAAATACTTATAGCGCCATTCATATACAGCACACCTTTCTTGTTGGTGTCCTAGAGCCACATCCCAGACTTGACACTTCCTAAGGACATTGGCAATCATCTCTGAAACTAGCAAGCGTTCGTTGGCCAATGAGAGAAAAAAATATTAATTAAAAAAAAGTGTGATCATGTTAGGTGAAAATGGTGTGAAAACTGGGCTTTAGGTCACTTGAAGTGTTAAACATCCTGATACCTTTATCACCCTCCTGTCTCATTCCATGGACATTTCTTTTGGCAGCCACCTTGACATAAGCAACTCCTGCCCCACCTGCTCATTTTTATCCCTGCTCCATGCCCCCAGCCATGGTGGTGTCAAAACACAGTGAATTACATTAAGATAGAGATAGCGGTTAAAAAAACTCCTGCCAAGAAACTCCAATGGTTATTTTTAAACTTAGAATTACGTTCTACTATTCATAAAGAGGCAGGCTGAATAAAAGCAGACAGAAATTTATACAGGACAGGTATTTACCCTTAGCTATTGTTATCTCAGGGGTCAGGATGTGATTTCACTACTGCTTCAGGTATCAAAGTACTCTTTCTGCAAGCCTTCATCTAGCAGTCTTTAAAGCTCTAACAGTGACAGCTGCCCAGGATCAGCAAGTACAGCGTGTACTTGTTTACTCGGTTCCTCATCATGTGCTTCCGGAACCTCTCCTATCAACAGCAAATCACAAGTAACACTTAAATCCTGGAGAATGAAGAGGGAGCAGAAAGAACTGCAAGGGTTGAGGTAATAGCCAGCTACATACTACATAATGCAGTTGTGCACTCACAACTGTGAAACCTAGTACATCTGTTTCTAGCAAATAAAACATGGACACAGTGTAAATGTACATATATATGTTTATATAGGTATTTTATGCATATAGAGAGAGAGAGTCACTCTCTCTCAATCTCCATATAAGAACACAAATAGCTGTTGATGTCAACAATGTATTGTGTCAGTCAACATGATGAGTCAGTCATTCAGTGCCCTAGTGCCAGCATAACTGCACCTGAGCTGCCATCATTCAGGTATGATTTTACAGCAAAACCTGCATATAATCCCAGCTGCCACCCTTCCCTTTTTTTTTTTTTTTCCCTTGAGTTTGCACCAGAAGCACCTGTTAGTGGAGGAGGTAGCACAGGGTCACCAGGCTGACAAACCACCACAGATCATGTTGATACTTAGATGATAACCCTCAGTCTGTGGGCTGCTGGCTGGCTGGTATCTACACAGAGATCAGTATTTTGGCTGTATGAACAACCCATGCAAACCTCAAATGCAGATTAAGAAAGCAGCTACTTTCTTCAGTGAAAACTGTGGGTTTTCTTTGCCAGAGTCCCACTCTAACCTACTACACCTACATTTTTCCTGAGCACTTTTGTGCTCCCTGCTAGCTAACTACTCATATGTTCATCTAGCATAACCCTGCAACCAGACGACTCCACAGAGTCCTTCTTAAAGCCTGAGGACAGAGTTTAAAGTTTCCTTGGCCAGTATGATACCAGTTCAGGACATTTCTTTAGAGTTCTGTGTCACAAGCAGCAGTGTGTCACCACCTGAAAAGCCCTTGCAATACAGAGCCACAACTTCCCTTCATGGTCAGCTGCCAGGGTGTGCCAGGGCATTCAGACAGCTGAGAAAACAAAACATAGCCTTTTTTTTTTTTTTTCCCCTTTAAGAATCCACAGCCTGTATTCAGTGGCTGGAACAGTGAGAGAGGACACACCATGAGCTGCAACCAACCCTGCCAGGAGACGCAGGGAAGCTGGCACTGACCAGTGCTCATAATGAAGGTGCTCTGACTCTGTTTCTGCTTACAGAAGAAGGTGACACCTGATATTATTCCTCAGTCACTGATCAGCATGACACAAAATTGAAAATACATGAAAACATCAAGTACATGAAGGAACAGACACGTTTAAATATTAGTTCATACATGTGCCTTGTACACCAGTGTTTAATGGTTCCTTGACATGAAAATTACACATAAACCAACACTACCTTGATTTCCTATTACTTCTGAAGTAGAATACGGAAAGGAAAGTAAACTAGTTGTATTGTACCAGGTATACAGCAAATATGACTGTTCATAACACACTTACTTCCTACTTGTTGCCAAACCTAATTCTCATTTCCAATTTCAGGGCATCTTTGCAACTATTTCAGAAGTAAAAGAAAAGCAAATTACCTAATCCTGATAGCATCCAACAACAGAAGAAAACGCAGAAACCCCAACAGACTCTAATAAATGAGTAGTCGTTCACTAATTAGTTTGACTAGAAGTTGAGTTAGTCTGAACAGCCAGCCGCAGAGAGTTGGCCTTGTGACTGCAGTCACAAGATGGCTGCCCTGCCAGCCCAGCCCTGCAGGCAGCTGGTCACCAACCCTCTGCAGGGGGAGATCACCCTTCCCTCATGAAAAAACCCATCTGAAGTGGATATGCTGTTTAAAGCAATAGATCAAATGTGGAAAAATCAGGAAATGCTTTTCTTCGTTTATAAAATGAAAGCAGTATACTTCTGGCTAACTACAGACAGAGGACAAGAAAGTGCTCTTAGTTTACATAAATTATATTACCCACTTAGGCTCATTGTGAGAAAAGGGTTGTTGGTACCTATGGAACAGAAGAGAGGGATTAAAAAAATCACTTACTCCTGCAAGACCGTAAAGATAAAAGTATCTGTTTTCCAGAGATATCAAAGACACAAATGTGGGTAAAGCAGGGAACAAAATGAACACACAGACAGAGGATCTGCACAAGGTTACCTAGAGGTACCGAAGCCCAGAAGCTTTTAGGAGGAAATTCCTATCACTTAGGGTTTATGTTGTCGTGGACAATACTCACAAATCCCATGCATTGCTACTGAATACACTTTCCAGGTTTTGTTCCCAGCTTTCTGCAAATACAGATGTGGTTCAGAAAACAGAAAAATAAAAACCTCAAACCAAACGAGTGGTCTGATTCCACTGAATTAATTTTAATCCTTCACAGGAGGTAGATGGGTTTGCCCACAGATAGGTTTGCCCACTGAGATCTGCCCTGGGTGGTTGCTCTCATCCGATGCAATGATGTGCATCATGATTTTGCATGATCCTGTTTATCAGGAGCCAAGCAGGCTTCTGGTAGCAGCTTTTGCAGTTCTGGCCACTACAATCTACGTAGGGAGTTTGGTGAGACAGCCTGCAGAAGCTGTTGGCCAGGACAGCTACATACTAACATGTGGATTGCTGGAGCTTGGCCTACCTGTTCTTGTCAGCTGCTGAGCAGATCACCTGGTGAATGTTTTATCACTTTTGAAGAGATGCCTTGGGAGGAGATGAAACACCCACTCAATTACTCGGTCAGCTGCACGAGGCCAGACAAATCCCAGCTCAGGGTGTGATTGCCCCGTGTCTCATCAGTTCAGCATTAAGCTCAAATGCACTGTCAGCACATGCCCAGGAAAGAATGAAGCCAACTTCTCTCCACACCCAGCTGCTGCAGCACTGGTCTTGGGATCACGTGCTGTGAAAAGCCGAACTCGGAGACACCATCGTGCCCGGCGCTCACTTACCAGATGAGGTACTGTCCGTGTTTCGCCCCTTTGGTCACCTAGCTTCCTGTTCTGTTCCTGCATGCACAATTTTCTCCCTCTTTTAACAACTCAGCGTGATTTGTTATTCCAGCACAGGAAGAGAAAAAGGAGACTGCTGAACTGAAAAGAAAGCATGGAGGGTAAATGGAAGAGAAAGGGCCACACAGGCAAACGCAGGTATGAAATTTAAACTCAATAAAAGAAAAGAATGAGGATGTTTGCCTTTTAGCTCTGTCAAAGCTCCACCCCAGAAAAGAAAGAAACAGGAGAAGACAAAGCCAAAGAAGGCTAGCCTTCTCTCAGATGTGCATGCAAAGCTGCTAATCAGCTCTGGCAGGCAGCCTCACTGCTTTTGGCTTTTTTCCTCTCCCACTCCTCAGCTGTGTGCCAGTTTAGATTAAAAACTAGGTAGGGAGGGAGGTTCTCTCACTTTTTGGTTAACCAGCACCTAACCAAGTGGAACTATAAAGCTTGTTGATGTATCTAGAAATACTGCAACTGAAATAACATTTTCTAACAATTCCTGATGGGCTTCCAGTGACCAAAAATTTGCTTCTGAAAAGCTCTGTTCTACCGTGACAGAAACGTGATCAAATCTCGTAACAGCGCTGAACCAGAAAACAACAGGTCGCCTCCAACTCCTCCTGTGGCTAGTGAGCAAC